TTTTTTTTTCTCAAGTTATTTCTTCGTCTTCCGTCTATCTATCCATTTTAGTCCTGTCCTCTCCAACTTATGCCAATCAATTAACAATACTTGACCGCCGATCGTGACAATTACGCAATTCTCAGTGTTCAATACATTTCGAATAGAATTATCTCTATATGTTTTATATGATATATTGTGATTCTGCGTGCAAAATTGCGATGATCACAATACAAGCGGTACTTGTAAAATACCTACTTGCAATTTGTAGATTGGCTGTGCTTGGTAAGGCCCTGAAAAATTTAATAAAATTATAAAGCAAGATGTGATTACCTGGAATATCGGCTTATCGGCGATCTGCGTGGACTTCTTGACCAGGACCTAAAAAAAATTAAGAAAAACTGTTGTATGTTTCAGACTGCTCATATGTTGCTGATCGCCATGTTTCGCTTTGATTAGTTTCTTTTGCCTACTCGCACCTGAAAATTACGGTTAATGGGGTAGGGAGATCTTACCTTGGATAACGACCCAGTGATCTCCTTCGGGGACTGCAAGATCTGGACCTATAAGTTTGTCAAAAAATATATGATATGTGAATCCTGTTGTTCGCTAAGCATATTCACAAGGAGATTACAATGGGAAAAGAAAGTGAGCTATATACGAAATAGCTACCTCTGCCACAACTAAAAATTTGCTCTAGCATCTCCCATGTTTAGGTTTCCCATGCAGCGTCTTTGGTTGCTCTTCGGCTAACCTCGCAGATTTTCACATTTTGCATAAAAATATTTTGTAATGGTCAAAGTATTTTCTTTTTTTTTCTCTTTTAGATTTATTTTACTCTATCGAATCTTTAATTTTCAATTTAAATAAGAGTACTAGCCAGAAGAGCGAAAAGATCAAGTAAATATAGTATACAATATATTCTATCTGCATTCCTATATAAAATAAATAAAAAAAATATAAATTTACATCCTCTGTGCATAAAAGAAAATTCACCGAAACCCGTGCATCGTCTTTTTTATCATTCTTATTTGATAACTGCACTGTAATACCTACTTGGCGAGACACTTAGCCATCTGCAGCAGCTCAAACGTTGCTGTAAAATATGGATATTTATACTTTAAGATTTCTTACCTGGAATATCTTGGACCTGATCTCCTCCCACCTCCACGTCTACTTCTTCCTGAGGACATCTCTACTCTCACTCTGGTTCCACAACAGCGCCTAAGAAAAAAGAAATGCATTGATTTTTATTATTAAAGTTCATAAAATTATTATCATTGAGTATCTATATATATATATATATATATATACTCACGTTCCATCTAATCCTCTGACTGCATCCTCCGCATCTCGTGGGTCTTCAAATTCTACAAAAGCAAATCCAGGTGGCTTTCTGGCAACCCATACATTTCTTAGTGGCCCATATTTACTGAACGCACTTTCAATTTCATGTTTACTAGCACTATTTCCTAAATTTCCAACATAAACCTTACACGACGGATCCCACTCACGATAACGTGACATTCTGCAAATGACGAATTTCTTCTTGTTAACACCAACGTAAGTTTCCAGTTAATAAATTGATATTTAAGTACGTGTGTTCTGAAGATTAAACGTAATAAACGGGTACTACGTTTTCAATGGATTCATTGGATATTGAATTGGATAATAGCCTATGGAAATAAATCAACACCCACTATCAGTTTATCTATACTCAGAAAATATCGACCGGCGACAAAAATAATACCGTTGATACCATATAATGGTCACAGCACAAAAGCGCTGTACGTTTTCAGCATGCTTCATAACTTCATAATTAAGTTAATCTTATATAATAAGCTTAATAATCTGCAGTTAGTCGAAGTTAGTCGAAGCTTAGCCAATTATACTGAAAAGGGAAAGTCGGTATACACCGCCATGTTGTGCTCTCAATATATTAACTACAGCACAATGACTAATTATGCTAACTTCAATATCTGATTTATTTAAAAAAGAACAGATTTCTTGTGTTAATTGAAATACTGTTGTTACGCACTACTATTATTTTGCTTGAAATTTCATTCGTATAAACATATAAATATTACGAAAGATTAGTATCTGTCGGAACAGAAACCGACGCCATGGAAATTTTAAAGCGATTTTCTTATTTACTCGCGACATTTTTCAAAATAAGCACAACTAATCAAGTGTATGTATATCTATTTTTGACGAAATATTATATTTTACTTACATTTGAAGTGTATTAAACAAATTTGATAGTCTCGTACCACAAAGAACTTTACCGTCGAACAGCACAAGTAGAAATGCCCACAAAATGGTGGCGTATGTAGCGTTAATCTTCTTCCGTGGCCTCCTTTCTAAGATGGCATTGCTGCATACTGCTTTCTACTTTCTAGTCAAATGGAAGTTTATTGCTGCATTAGCGTTATTGCAATAATATTTAAAAATTACATTTTTTTATGTTTATTAAACTCTATCTGTAAAATATCAGTTTATCTCAATAATATTTAGATTATTAATACAGCCAACATATTCATTCTAATTTTAATGATAAATTTATTGCAAATATAATACTTTAATGAAGCTATTACACCAAACAGTAACGTACAGTTTTAACGAAAAACAATATTTAATTATTTATTTAAGAAAAAAGACGATATCATAATATTTCATGAAAATCGATAAGTACTTTGTATTGATTCACGTTGTATAGCAATAGAGCATCATATTCATATACATGTATATCTTTTTATGTACATAAGTATATATACATATATGTACATCATATGCATATTAGTCGATATACGATTAGTATACAATAATTTAATTTAAATTTATGGTATATACAATAACTTAATTACGGAAAATATAAAAATTTTTATTTCTTATATAACTTAAATTACAAAAAGTTTCAAATACAAAAGTTATATATACAATTATACCACAAAAAGATTTACACAAATACAATTGATACAAGTTAAAAATGCAGTTCACTTTTATGTCAATGAACAAATCTTTTGTAGTCAATTTTTTCAAGTTGTACCAAAGGTTTCAATTGTTCTGCAAAAATTCTCATATCTTCTGCTATTGCATCTTGGCCACTAGGAGCTAAAACACTCAGTTCTACTAAGTAGCTTTGAGATATTGCTTCCATACTCTCAGGTATTTTTCCTTGTTGACCCATTTTAAATATTTTGGAAACTGTCACTTTCATTCTACCCTTGCGAAACATATAACCACGTGCAATATATTCAAAATCTAGCCTACATCCAAGTTCTGTTAGAAAATCAACAACTGTATTACTAGTTGCTATGTCTAAACTACTTCTAACAATTGTAGGTCTTGATTTGTCACCCAATTCAGGTTGACCAATGTAACGTAACTGCCAAGGCATATCTTGATAATCTAAGGCCCTTCTTACGCGTAAAAGTAATGGTTGTTCAGCTCCTCTAAAACATATAGCATTACAATTATATAAATTTATAAATAATATTTCTAATAATCTTTAAAATTATCTTATATACCTGATACTGAAACACATTTCGTGGTCATTAAAAGTTTCTGGTCCTGTATCTACATTATCACATAAACCACGTAATCTGTGAAGCAATACTTCCACAGCACTATCTAACACAGATCCTTGTAATAAATATTCTTGATTTGGAATTATATTAGATCTAATTGCAGCTGTTAAATTGTCCATTGCTGTACTTATTGGTGCACTCATTTTTAAGGTTGTAAGTCTTTCACAGCGATATAAATCTTTTTTATTTGTAAAATAGAAATATATTTGACAGGTATTCACTTTTGTAGGTTAACTTTGATGTTTTTACTGTAGTGCAGTGTTATAAATTCTGTCCCACGTATGGCAACAATTGACCATGCAATTTTCAACTCGTAAACAGCTAACTTCGCGTAGAATTGCGGTTAGAAATACGTAGGAATAGAAAAAAATGTTCAACGTTTTATTTTTAAAAAACGTTCAAGAACGTACAATATGTTAACTTATTGTTCTTTATATATTTTATATTTTAAACGTTCATTCTCGTGTTACATGTAACTCATTTTGAAATTTTTGTAATAATTTAAGTTTCTCCGTTATTTACGTAACATTACCTACGAATAGTAATAGTAAAAAAACTATAAGCTACTCGAGTGCACATAAAGAGATTTCTTATATAAAAGTTATACCGAAAAAATATATTTATAATTTACATATCGATATGTATATGTCAAAGCAACATTATAAAATACGTTTTTGAACATTACAAAACATACATGACATATTAGCAAAGATAATGTTAAAATCATTAATGTATTTAAAAATTTATTTGTCTTTTTTTTTAAACAAGCAATATACATACATATTTAAATAGCCGGTTTACGCAGTTAACATGTTACGCAGAAGCACATGCCACGTTTGTTGCTTCTGCTAATGAATAGATAAGGTTGAAACGCGCAAGCTCAAAACAGAACTTACAACATGGCGGAACGTAGGAAAAGCAGGAAGCGCAAAGATGTAAGCATCGCATATGGGTGCAATTATCGCAATATTATTCGACAGTACATGTGAATTATGGTGTTTATTTGGTGACTGAAATTATAATATTTGATTTTATGTTAGATTCATTTTGTTTTACCAGTTCAAAGCACATGTCAGTATGAATAAGTATTGCAACCTAGTCCAACGGTGACGTAGCAAACAACTAATTTTCACATTGTTCAAAATTCATGAATTAATTTTAATTATATAATTAATTTACCATCTAGTAAATTACTTTCTTTCGGTTTTCATGGAAATTTATTATTTATCCTAAATGGTTTCTTCATATAGAAATTTGACGGTTATTTTAATTGTATATAATTCCGGTAAATTTCGGTTACCATCTGTACCGCCTAAACTTTGAATGTTTTGTTTCTTTTGTATGACGTAAAGAATTACAATTGAATTCAACGTTTCATATAATTTTCAATGTGTAATAAAGAAAAGAATAAATATCAAGTTTTATAATTTATATGTAATAATGAAACATTCACAAAATATTATGAAAATGATTAAGAATTAATCTTTTGTAGCAGGAAATATCAAACATAGATAATGAAGTCGTTCAAGAAAAGCCATCTAAGGAAGAATATGCAGTAGCTAAATGGATTCGTAACAATGTACCCTCAAAAAAAACAAAATTTGACAGAAATCACAATGTCGAATATTTTACTGGCAGTCGTGCAGTGGATGCTTTATTGGAAAATTCACCATGGAGTAAAACTAGATTTGAAACACGTGAACAGGTTACAGAATTCCTTGATTTGATGTTAAGACATAAATTCTTCCATCGAGCAAAAAAGGTGGTGATTTCCGAAGAAGAACTATGTAAAATACGTGGAATAAAAAAAAAAGTTAAAGAAATAAAAAAGGATAAGAAATCTATTGAAAAAGAAAAGGAAGAAGTTAAAGAAAATAAAGATGCAACAGGTGAAAATGAAGATAAAGCTGAAGAAAAGAAGAAAAAACCAAAAGTAAGTTTCAAGAAAAAGTAATGTTTATTTAGTAATTACATGTATAAATTTTTATGTATAAGCATTGTTATTAATAACCCTTTCAGTGCTATAATTCACATATTAGTTTAAAAAAATATTACAAGCAATCCATATATATTTGTATAGAGCTACTCAGTACATATATTTTATTTTAAAGCTATGTTTCATTGTTACATAACTTTTCTTGTGATATTTTATTTTGATATTATTATTTGTTCTGTTTTATATTGTTTTATTTTATTGAATATTTTTTAGCACAGTATCAAAATAATTTCAAACATATAAAAATAAGAAGCATTTTCTAATAAAAATACTATCACTGTAAGTGTTTAGTAACAAGTGCACACACATTATCAAGAATGTTAGTGCTGAAAGGGATAAAGTACAATGAAATAAGTAATCCAAAAAATGATCACTACAGGTACGTTTGGAAATGCATATGGAACAGTATTTTGTTGACTGCAACGATGCTTATGTCTGGATATATGAGCCAATTCCCATATACTACTGGTTCTTTGGAACACTTGTAGTTTTAGGTGCAATTGGTGTTTGTCTCTTCCCATTGTGGCCATTAACAATCCGTCATGGTGTATATTATATAAGTGTTGCAGCTGCTGGATTCCTTGTATTTATTTTGGCATTAGCAATCATTAGACTAATTGTATTTTGCCTTCTGTGGGTTCCAACACTTGGTAGATGTCATCTTTGGCTTTTGCCCAATTTAACTGCAGATGTTGGATTCTTTGCTTCATTTTGGCCACTTTATCAAGTATGTATCAGCTTTTAATTCTTTATTATTTAATTAATGCAATGAATATATGTATATAACTTTATTTTTAGTACGAATATTATGGTTCTACGTCTGAAAGTGACAAAAAAGTTAGTAAAAAGAAGAAAAAGAAAGAAAAAGACTCTGATTCTGAAGAAACGCCATCAACACAATTGTAAGTGTGATTTTATATTAATAAAATTAATTCTTATTACTTTAATATTAAATTTATAAAAAAATATCAAATTTATAAAACTTTTGTACTCCAATAACGTATTTATATTTCTTTTACAGAGAAGAGAAACCTAGTATTAAAGAATTATCTAAGAAACATACTCAAATCGAAGAAATTTCCCCTAGTGAAGAAAACAAGCTCCCTTCATCTGAATTGATAGAGGGAGAAGAGGGTAGCGAAGGTTCAGAAAGTGAAAAATCTAATACAGGTCGAGATTTTGTGATGGTTTAGAACAGGAATTGGCAATAAATAGTTTTGTTTATCTTTAATATCACATTAATCAATCAATGATCGAATCTTGTCAATTCTGATTAAATCTTATACAAATTCGTAACATAACTATTTATTAACTGAAAACTTTTGGATGACGTAAAACATGTTTATTTTGTGAAAAAAATCTGATTTTGAACGTTGTCAAAAGCAAAAATGAAGATGCAGTATATAAAAAGAAGTATGATACATAAATTTAGTAAGCTTAATCCATTTATTGTTTACGCTAATGTGTATCTTTGCATTTTTTGCATTTAGTATATTACAACCAACTGAACAAGGGAAATTGCATCTGTATCTTACGTAAAAGAAATTTTTGTGAATTGTAATGTAAGAATACCAATCTTGAGATTCCAGTTAAATATGTATTTTTATTTAAATTATTATTAATCAACATTTATTTATATGTGTTTACAGTTTTACTTACAAGAATTATTTCACAAAAATGTATAACTACATTAATGCAGGTGCCTGAGGTTTGCCCAAATCGATTAAAAATTGTTTGTGATATTTTATATCGTAAAACAGTAAAAATGAATATTGAATTTCAATAATACAATTTTCTCAGGTCCCAAAACTGTACAGTGCTTGATAAATAGAATCTCCAAGGACAAGACTATAAAATTCTTTTAATCAACTGTTACTCTATCAGCGAATTTGTTTTTAGCAGAGCCAAGACTTGATCTTTCACATTTCATACAAATTGTAATTTATATTTTTATGTAAAAATTCCAATGATAATAATTATTGCTATTATTATTATAACTATTATTATTATATTACTATTGCGAAATAATCATCTTGATCATTGTAGATGCGTGAATCGTGACTGTAGCTGTGTATATATATATGTACATATATGTATATGTATATATACGTGTATATATATATATGTATATATATATATGTATATATATGGTGAAGAGAAAATTTGAAATTTATATATTGTTATCAAAAATGGACATGAAAGGTATATATAAACATGTTACATATATAACTCACTACTTTGATCTTATGATTGCTATGATGAGCAATTGTATATATGTATGATGAGTTATATCATATACATTTAATATTACTAGTTATCAAGGTTTAGATAATTTGTATTAAAATCCTTTATTTATTTATTTAAGGATTTACTTCAACTGCATTACGTTTACAGATAATACATAATAGCAAATCTAAATTTTGGTCATTCTCTGCAGCCAGTTTTATTATTAAAATAAAATATATTTAAGTTACACGCATGTGTTCTTATATTATTTTTATGACCGGAAATGTGGTTTTATTAGCTTCGTCTTAGTTGAATTCGAAATATTTCTCGAAAACATTCGCCGAAATATTTTTTCCATAAATTTAAAGTTAAAGTTAAATTTTTAATCTATTTTCAGCCCATATATATATATATATATATTACCCTGATAAATATAATGTTTTTTAAATATTTTTCAGGAAATTTACAAATTAATTACATTAAATCACGTACTAGTAAATTCGTTATGGAATGTCGTCGAACCGGTGTCAGCTTTATGAGAAAATATATGGATGGATATGTGTGATTGTGTTTGAAATTTCTTCTATAAGAAATCATCGTTTCAAACAGTTAGATATGATAATTCTTCAGAACTGAAATTATTTATTCAGAAAGTAAGAGACACGATGCTTTCGAATTAATAGATTTGCAACAGGTTATATTGATCAGAAGAAGCAATACTTAAAGGAACCAAATTGAAAATCGTTTCCTGGCAAAGAGACTGGTTGGCCATACCATTTCCATACTATCATGTTAATGAGCATTTAACATCACATTTTTTACCAAGCTCGTAAATTTACCGTTAAAATTGTTTGAGCGTCGCGCGTGTCTCGCCTTTCTCACGAACGTTATATTAAAAAAAAAAAAAAAAAATCGAACGACGTTTCAGTTGTCATTTCCGTATGTATATGGCAAATAGAAATAGAAATTTCCAACATGCAACATTCTTACGTTTGACTTGTTTGAACCACATACAGATTATAGATCCTGTTTCATTCGATAAAATTCAATTAATTGGTGCAAAGGAAGTGCAAGTTTTTTGAAGTTGAAGGCAAATTTTTTGTTTGCAGAGGAAACGTAGACGAGGCGTGCTGCGTGTGTATTTTCGCGCAGGCAAAGTAGCGATTCGTGGACTGGTTGGTCGTGAAGGCGAAGGGCCCCGTCACGTGAAGGCAAAGTTAATAATTCATAGCCGACATATAATAAATATCGTTACTCCATCGTAAACGCACGCAGACACGTGCACATTGCGGTTTTACGTGCACGTACCCTTCTCATAATACGTATGTAAAGACGGTTTCACGATTCCATATAGGCTCTCGCCGAGATTACGTGGTGAGCTTTCGTCCTTGGCAGAGGCAATAAAAGCGAAGTCCCTTTAACAATGCACTCACGCGCAGAATAAAATAATCGTCGCCCTTCTTTCCATGCATTTCTTCGCCAGATACACGGACGTTTTCTTGAAATTTGAGGTTAAGGCAAACTCTTCGTTCCTCTTATGTTTGTCAACTAATTCGCTTAAACGTTTCTTTTTATCATCTTACAACAATGTATCGCGTTTGCATTTATTTCATACGTATATAATGACTGAAATAAATGTATAATTATATATTTTTTTTAGTTTCCAGATTTACGTCAATACACAGTTTTCACATATACGTAATGATCCTCTGAAAGAAGATGATAATAATTGCAAAGAAAGTGCAAACGTGCTCGTGAACTTTATTCGCGCGTTAGCATCGAGATGAGATTTAAAGAGAAAAAAATATATTACACGCGCGAGGGGGGGGGAGACCCGAAATAAGGCGAGTAAAAAATATCCTGCATGGCCGAGCACCGTGGTTTGCGGTTACAATGTGCAACGAAAAAAGAATTCTTCGTTTCTTTCGTCTCTCTCTTTCTTCGTCCTCTCTCTTCGTTCAGCTTGTCTCTCGGCCCTCCTTCTCCCTCGTTCTTCGTTCGTGAGACTCTCAACGTGCGCAGACAGCCGGATTTATATTCAAATGAATTGCCACGGAAGGGTCGACTTATCAACGTATCAAACCTGACGAGGCGAAGAATAGACAAGGAGTGAGTTGCGAAATAATGTTTGCTTCTTGATCGATCACTGCTATCGCTTGAGGGGAGGAGGGGAGGGGGATTGTTATTAATTATCCCAGGAACTTGTTCCTCGGATAATTAATTTCGAAACACGCCTGTAATTTCATTTCGCATATCGAGACTGTCATCGATGCTTACTCGTCGATTAAGTTAGTCCTTAAATTTTCAAACAAGTATCTGTGCGAGGTACATTTTGGC